GTTGTTTAGTGCCATCGAGTCAGTTATACATACATATATAACTGTAAGGGCCATTGAGTTGGTTCTGACTCATAGCAACCCGGTATAGGGTTTCCGACTCAACAGCCAAATTCTCAGATACGCAGCAGAGAGGTATATAGCGGAGACAATAACACCATGGAACGGCCATTCATTCGAAATCAAAAGGGCAACATTTTCTTAAGGATAAAGTTGAGAAGGGATGAGAAGGTGGGTGGAATGGAAACGAATCACAGGGAGAAAGTGGGATAACTGTTATTGCAGGGAGGGGATTGCAATCACTGAGATGATAGATATAAAGTGTATGATTTTTTAATGTAAAACTGATGATCTTGTCTGTAAACCTTCACTTGATTCACAATAAAAAGTTTCTTTTTAAAAAAAGCCTTTTCTTATTGATAACGGTGTCAATTAACCAAGAGGATTTAACAATTTTGAGCATTTATTCATGTTCTAATAACAGAGTTTCAAGACATAAAGTACACATTCTGTCTAAAAAATCCCAGAAGGAAAGCAGATGCTCAACACAAACCATGTGATTCAGACAGTTCAGGCACAGCGAGCCATTCTGATTAGGGAATAGCAGGAACCTTTCAGAAATCCAGGTTCCCAGATACCAGACAAGGACCAGTCTGGTGAGTCAGCTTCCTGTGGAGAGCAGCCTTAGGCCTGCTGTTAACTCTGTTCTGCAGACCACCTTTTACACCTTGAAAAACAATTCTATTAGATCTTTCCTCCATCTTCTACTCTGTTAGCACATAACTAATTTTTTCTATGAAAGTTTTCACATTTTTTGTCCATCTTGGTCACCCTCATCTGGACTCTGACTTGAATATCTCCCTCTCAAACCAAGTAGCCGAAAATGTTAAAATAATACTCCAGGCACTACTTAGCCACAAACAGGATATTATACTTTTATTAGTGCAGTATAACATTTATTTCTTTTTTGAAAGTGCAATGCTAAAGGATGGTGTATTGAGCTGACAGACAGGACTAGAACTTCACATTATATTTATAACCCCATTAGTGACATTTTGTTTATTTCATCACAATATTCTTACCTACTAAGATTCTTCAGAATTACAATTCCATCATCTGTCTCAGGTTGATCATTTATACAAGTTTTTTGCCACGTGAAAATTACTGAGGGTCTGGAAGCAGACCGCTTCATTTCAAATGCTGGGACAGCGACTTCCTAGTGAAGTGACATTGGGCAAAGTTGTGCCACATACCCCTCAGTGCTCTCATTGTAAAAGCTGGGTACTAATCGTACCTGTCTCACAGAGTTGGTCAGTAAAATAAATGAGATAATAATATAATTAAGTCTAGTATGGGGTCTGGCACATTGTAATTGCATAATGCACATTAATTATTATTAATCTAAACTACTGATATGAAGTTAATATCAAGGGCAAAGTTCCAAGACACGTTTTTGGTGACTTCTCTCAGTGATAACAGCAATTAAAATTCTTATTGATCCCTCAACATAATATGATTTCATATTTCTTTCTACTGAATTGCTTCTAGTTTGGGAAAAACTAATATCAAATATTTAAGCTGTACACAATTTTTCTAGCCTTCAAATTTTTCATTAACGTGGATGGTAAAAATAAGAAAAAAACCAAGAGCTGACACACTTGCTATATACCTGGTGCCTCTCCCAAGCACATCATCTAATCCTGCTGATTCTAGAAGGTGGGTACTAGCGACATTTACATTTCACAAGGACGAGGAGGTTAGGTCACTAAGCTGGTAACTGCTGAAGGCAGCATTTGCACTCAAAACATGAGTTCCAGAGCCTGACCTCTTGACCATTCCACTCTTCTCCACTCACACACCAGGAGCACATTGCCCACCGGGATAATTAATGACTCTGGGATGACGCAAGATGCTAAATGCTGACTGAGTCTTGGAATGTTCAACAATGAGAAACACTCATTCCCTTTTTAAAGCTGGAAAAACCTAAGGGTTGAGTGATTTGTTTAACCCTTCCATGACTGAATTATTTTCTGCTTTGAATGTTTCTGTTGGGATCAAGAGTTTTCAGTAATGGAAGGCATGCTGAAACCAAGAAAACTGTTTATGAGGTACTATGGATTTTTGGGACGCTGTGGGTTAATGCGCCAGACTGCAATGCCGTTTGAACTGCAAGGTCGGCAGTTCAAGCTCACCAGCTGCTCCTCGGAAACTCTATACAGGGTCGCTATGGGTCGGAACTGACTCAATGGCATTTCAAAACAAAAAACAAAAATGGATTTTAACACAATTACATGGGACATATGCATCCCAAGCAGACTCTAGTGGTAGGATTAGTGGAGTGGCGGCTGTTTCTCCAGATACACAGTTACACAGGTCCCTGCCAGGAAGCAGCATGTGCTAAAACTGGGATAGCAGCTTCTTAAGACACCTTTCAGAGAGACTGAAAATGCAACATGTGTCCTGTGGGTCATTAAAGAGGTAAGGTGAATAGGAATAGGCAAGAGAGGCTCAGATCGCAGTGCTGTCGCTTCTTAGGAGTGTGGATCTACAATCTTTCTGAGCTTCATTCAATTGCAGCACTGAAGGACAGTAACAGCCCAAGGGGGATGGATGGTAGGAAGTAGGGGAGCATATACATGGGAAAACATCTACAACAGAGCCTTGTGTATATAAGGTACCCAACACAGGTTAAGCCCTTTGTCAGCCTCCTCCTCATGACTCCCGGCACAGCATTCTTTGTACACACCATGTTACTACTTCTCAGTACCCTCTCACCAGCTGTGTTAAACAGATGGGTGGCACAGAACATGATTTTGGGGTGACAACCACGTGATACGGCATCAGACAGTCCAGTGAAGTCCAGTTATATCACACAATTTCAAGAATAACAAACTGCCTCTCTTTTGTCCTTATGCCTGTCACATCATCAAAGTAGAAAATGAATTGGGTCTACCAAGATCTGCTCTTTGTACAATTCAGCTTAATGTTCCCCAATACCTTCTGTTCTTTTGAACAAATGAGTTACTTGATTTGTTCTAGTTTATGACCAGACATTGGAATGATAAGATCAACTTAAAATTTTAAATAAAATTATTTTTTTACCTTTGCAAAAGGAAGTATGCTTTACTTTGTCATCCAGTGGTTCTCCTATTCACCACAACCTCTCAAAAATACAAGCTAATACCTAGGCTTGAGGCTCTTTTCCCTCACATTTGTAGATAGGAAAGAGCTCACGAATACTGACAAGCACCGTGTGTGTCAGCTGAGGCCTGACCAATTAATTAGTATTGCCAGCTGACTGAGCAGCATTTTCTGAAGACAAAATGCTACCAGGTAACAAGGCCTTTTATAACGTGAAACTGTTGCATAATTTATCTAATTCCCCCCCACACACACACACACACATACAACAACAGCAAGGCAGTCATGAAGCACAAACTGTTAGCTTCCAGGAATCATTTTAAATGTTTCCATGTCTTAAGGCAATGTGGAAGTGGATGCAAAAAGTCAAAGGAAATTATGTCCATGCAATGTTGACTTCCTAAATCTCCTTCCCCAGCCAGAGAAAAGGCTTACTGGGAGGCTACAATCAGAAGCCCCACAGGGAGAAGTGGTGCAGAGGAACACATTCATTTGAGTTTGACACAGTGAAGGTTCAGTGCCAATTTGTAACAGTATGAATTCAATAACTGTTTCAAAGCCAAAAATGCAATTTGGATATGAGTAGCTTTCCAAAGCACCGAGGTTTTTTCTGAGGTCTAGGACTCCTAGTGTGCTGCCGTAGGATCAGCACCAGATTAAGAATTACAAGGTCGGCAGTTCACACCCATCCGCTGGCTCCTCAGAAACCCTAGACAGGATCCTCACTATGAGGCAGAGCTTACTTGACAGCACTTAACAAAAACAACGGTGGCTAACATGGCGTCCGAGTACGGTGCTACAGGATAATGCACTGAACAGCAAGGTCAGCGGTTCAAACTAAGCAGCCGCTCCTCGGAAACACTCTACAGGGTCACTATGAAGTGGATCTGATTCACCAGTACTTAAAAACAACAGTAACATGGCTAATATATCATTTACAAAGAGAAAGAAAGAAACAACAAAAACCTGTAAGGGTAATAAGATCTCATCTGGGTTCCAAAACCAAAAGCCCTGAGCTAAGGAAAAGCCATTTGGCTTCATTCTTTCACGCTTCTTGATCCAACTTTATGAAAAGGGATTTAATTATATTATATTGTGCTTCAGTTTAGCCATCTATAAATGACAATATTATGTGTCTTAGCAAGATACAGACTATAACAGAAGGAAAATGAAATAACAGATGCCAAAGCACTGTTAAAAATTTTAAAGTATACAGCAGGGCAAGGTATCATTGAATCTCTTTTAGCTAGAAGGCATCTGATGAGGGTATTTTCACAGCAGCAGGCCCAACGGCCAAATATACTTTACGGACAGAGCAACTTAATGATGGCATTGTCTTAGCCCCTTATGGAAATACATTTATCAACAAATATACATTTTAACAGTATCCATTTTCCATTAATTTTGTTTCCCTTTTATAAAATACTGATTACAAATAAGCTCAATATAAACTCACTTAATGAAAAAGTGAAAGACTACAACTGATCTCATAAAATCACTAATATCTCTGCCATTTTATGTCTATAGTATCAGTATTTTTCCAAAAAGATATTTTATTTTTCAGTTTTCAATAAATAAGCCTTATAAAATTAGATTAACTTCCCACTAGTGGCCCTGGTGGTTCCTTAGGATAAGCACTGCACTGCTAACAGAAAGGCCAGCAGTTCAAACTCACCAGCCACTCCATGGGAAAAAGATGAGGCTTTACAGCCTCAGAAACCCTAGGAAGAGTGGCTGTGAGTTGGAACTGACTCAATAGCCCTGGATTACAGTAATATCCAAACCGGGCAAGTCAAGCCCCACTAATGTGTTCCAACAGAGATGCTAAGCATACCCTGGTTTTACGAGATACTTCAACTTACCTCATCTCCCTTCAGGACTTCTGCACCGCCGAACTCCCGGGTCTGACTGCTCTTCACAGACACCTCTCTCTCTAGACTGGCTAACTTCTCTTTTGTCTCCTGAAGTTCCTCAGCTTTTGCTTCTTTTTTACGAGAAATGATGGATGCCTAATTGATCATTAAACATGAAAGCAAAAGAACACATACAATCATCTTTCTATTCTTCTTGTGAAGTTATCTACACGCGTAAGTAGTGGTCAGAAGACGTCGCCCTGACATTGACAATTTAGTTCAGTTAAATAGCATGTTAAGTGACACCAAAGTAAACGCTATAGGATAAGTGATCTGGTTTCTTCAACAAATATTACATAAGTAAGTAAGTGAGAAGGGGAATTTATAGACTAAAAGAAACTTAATCATATCAACCAAATACAATGTATCAATCCTATGTGGATCCTGATCCAAACCAATCAAATGTAAAAATAAGGGGAAACAATCCTCCCCAAATCATGAAAAAACACTGAGACATTCAAAGAAATCTGGACACTGACTAAACAGACATTTGCTGACATTGAGGAATTCTTATGAAATGGTTCAGGATGTGGTATGCCATTATTGCTAAGTTGTTAAAAAGTCTTTATCTTTCAGAAATATTCTGAAATATTTATAGCTGAATTAGAGCTGCTTCCAAATGATCCCAGTAAGAGAGGGTTTCTTTTTCCACAACAAATGTTCACACACAAAAAAATTCAGGTGGGGATAGAAGTCTAATAAACCAAGAAGAAGAGCCACGATTTCTGCAGTTCAGGGATTCAAAGGGGTTTTCTGTGTCAACCTCTCTACCTCTGTAAATGATTTGACATTACCCCTCATAAAAGATTTAAAGACAATTCCAGTGTCCTTGAATAATGCTGTGCTGTAGGTAAGTATTTTCTGAGGTTATATAGTACATTCTTTGCTGGTGTGGTACTATAGAATAAACACTGGACTGCAAGGTTGGTTTGAACCTCCAGGTTGTCAGTTCAAACTCACCAGCTGCTCCTCGGAAACCCTATACAAGGCTGCTATGAGTCGGAACTGACTTAATGTCATTTAACAACAAACTCTTCTTGACTGGGCTTTCAGATAAGCATGGCTTCCATCTAAATCTTTTGTTTACAAATACAAAACAACAACATACAAACCCTCACAATCTAATTTGTTGTTGTTGTTAAATGCCATTGAGTTCATTTCAATTCATAGTGACCCTGTATAGGGTTTCTGAGAAGTAGCTGGTGAGTTTGAACCTCACCCCTTGCGGTTCAAACTGACCACAATCTAATAGATGTGAATAAAACAATAAATGTTTTATTACTCAACATATGCAACCTGATCTTAAACCTGAAAAAGTTATATTGCCATTTAACTTGTTGTTATTTTAAGTGCCAATGAGTCAGTTCTGAGTCATAGTGACCTTGTATAGGGTATTTGAGGAGCAGCTAGTAGATTTGAACTGCTGACCTTGTGGTTCACAGTCCAGTGCTGATCTTACAGCGCCACACCAGGATGGTAAATATTTTGGTTTAGACCACCTGTTCCTGTGTGGAACAAAAGGTTAAGTACACAATTACTAACCAAATGGTTGGTGGCTTGAAATCATCCAGGGGTGCCTCCTGAAACAGGCCTGGTGATGTGCAGCTGAAGGGTCCCTACCTTGAAAACTCTAAGGAGGGGTTCTACTGGGCATACAACTGGGGTTGCCATGAGTCGGCAATGACTGGTCAATAAAAAGGGACACTATCACCTTAAAAGTGAAATTCAACACTAAGATATAAACACCAACAGCTGTATCACCAGAGTTGGCAGTCACTAAGGAAACTAAGCATTATCAGGTGTATTGCATTTCAAACTTGAACATGCGTCTTTCCCACAAATTCTTTACTATAATCGGGAGATTAGCAACGACAGAAGAGCATTTATTCTTGACTTCCTTCTCACTTTTAAGACTGTAGATCACACAGCCATGGTTTTCATGGAGATGGTCACCAATGAGATTACAGGTGAGCCTAAGGAATGGTCTTACCTGCTGCCGATACAGTGAGAGTTTGCCTTCTATCGGCTCATTTCTCATCATTTTCTTTTCAATCAGCTGATTGATTTCTGTGTTTATTTCATTTATCTAAAACAGTATGAGAGCCAAAAATGTGACATCTGGTCAGGCCAAACATGGAATCTAACATTCTCAACCATCACTGATCTGCGGCAAGGAGAGTCTCATGAGTGGGCAGAGTCTGTTGTTATGATTACTTTTAGAAACAATTTACATTTTATGAAACATGATATATTTGATATAACAATTATACATTACTATCAAAAAGGTGTTTTCTAGAAATAGAAAGCTATCACCACCTCACCGAGTTAGTGACTTTCATGTCACTGAAAGTCATAAAGCCAAGTCTGGACACATTTTTAGTATCCGCAGCTCCTGAGCCCAGCTGAGATTGGGCAGTGACCACATCTAAAAATTCTAATGATCTGCAATTTATTCTGCCATTTATTCTGATTACTCATCTAAACTTCTACAAAATGTAACAGAACAAAACTGACTAAAGCCAAAACACATATTGTTTTTTGTGCTTTGAAGTCAGTTCTGACTCACAGAGACCCTCTATAGGGTTTCCAAACCTTCAAGTCTTTGAGAGAGCAGAAAGCCTCCTGAGGAGCAGCTGTTAGGACCTTGTGATTTGCAGTCCAGTGCTTCTCATATGGAGCCACCGTGCTCCCCCAAACACGATAGTGTTAAGTGCCATCGAGTAGGTTCTGATCCATAGTGACCCTGTATAGGGTTTCCAAGAAGCGGCTGGTGAGCCTGAACCACCAACCCTGTGGTTCAAACCAACTTTGCAGTCCAGCTCATTAATCCACAACAGTGCCACACCAGGACATGCAGTCGAGAACAAATAACATGTAGTCCTGGACAAATAATAATAGTAAAATTATGTGACTTTCAGCATAATCTATCTTCTGAAAAGACTAGGATTCTCTTGTTCATTCCATGATACTAAATTTGGGCCACATGAGACATCTAATTTCTCTAAAAAGTTAAAAAAACAACAACAAAAAACCCCCTATACAGGGTTGAATCAGAACTTATTTGACAGAGCTTAACACCAACAATCTACATGTCTAAGTAGCTTAGTTCCACACTCAGTTGATTAGGCTTTTATCATCTCATACAGATTAGGAACAGCATTCAAAATATTCTATAATTCCTCATAAAGAGAGCTGTCACTCTTGTACAAGTTAACTAAAGTCAAGAGTGGGCCCCTATAGAAAGCAGTTCACATCATTTTCACAGGACTGGGGATGATGTAAAACTGGGAACAATAAAAAGCAGACGACTGTCACTTACCTTAGTTTCAAGTTCAAGAAGATCGGAATGGCCCATTGCGGGCTCTGAAACCACTTTTTGTAAAAAATGCAATTCTTTTTTCTTGTTCTCTAATTCTTTAGGAAATTTTTCAGTTACCATGTATGAATTAAACTTTATCTCCTCCTCTAGTCTCTTCATTAAACCTTTAAAAATAAAATCAGTGATTATTCAGCCCGCCAGAGTAGGGTGTAATAATGCTATACAAAAACATTGGTCTAAATATACACAACTAGTAAGGTATATCTGTTTAAAACATAATGCATAATATTTAGTTTATAGTAAATAACAGACAAGCCAATGAAATCTTTTGATGGTCATTAGAATGATATTAAGGAAGCAAGTGTAGTAATTTGTATGGAAGAATATTAACATAATCATAGAAAAAAGTAATATGATTTTTCAAAATTACAACCCAATTCTTTAATATCCAATAATTTTCAAAAATAACATTTTGTAATGCAGGCCAGATAGATTTTTGGCTCATACAAAAGGGCTTCAAAAAGTTGGTAGAACCATTTCATTATCTTTCAATTCCATTATTCCACAGATTATTTAAAGCGTCCTTGTACTTTGCCTTCTGATTATTTAAGAAATCTATGAACTTAATGACAACATTTAAATGAAATCTAGCCCAGGCACTCTCATGGAAGAAAGTAATGCTTATTCTTTTTCTAATATTTCTGATGTAATTTGTTATTTCTGTTTAATACTTCACATGCTAATACATTATAACTTGTCAGATTCAAATCACTGAAGACATCCCTAGCTACAAAACCTAAAGAAGAAACATCATCTACATTCTCACATGATTAAAGCTTTCCTTGCTTCAGTTGTTTTTGATTTTGTGAAGTATTAGCATTCAGTTAAGTGGCAACTTAAATTATATGTTTTTAATAAAGATTTGATAGTTTTCTTATTTTGGCAAAGGCCAAATACAGATTTTTCGGTGAGTAAAGGTTTTGTTGTCAATTCCCAACCTAGAGAGCTTTAAAAAGTTTATTTCAGATCTTCCAGTAACACATTTACAAATTCTGATTTGACCTTTTAAAATGCTGGGTTTTCAGTTTAATAAGTCCAAGTATATAAATTGCATAATACACCTGTCCCAAAGCTGTAAATTTGAGTTTTTTATTTTATGCTAACCACATATTAACTATGTAAAATTTTAATGCTGACAAATTTACAAGTTTTCCATTCATCTCTACAACTGCCCCATTTTTTCCGGGGTGCATCGTGAATGACATAGCAATCAGGCAGTCATTCCTATGTGGCTTCTGATTATAGTTAAACTTCCTGGCTTCTTCTGCTATTAGATCACCAGCTTTTCCATCTTCAAGTTCTTCACACGTAATGAGAAATGCAGGGATCCAAAGTCTAAAATGCTCTTGTTGTTGTTGTCAAGTGCCAAGAAGTCAGTTCTTACATAGCAACTCTGTATAGGGTTTCGAAGGAGCGGCTGGTAAGTTTGAACCACCAACCTTGTGGATCAAACTGATCTTGTGATCCAGTGCTTTATCCCATAGCGCTACACCAGGATTCCATATTTAAAATTCCTAAGTAATATTTTCTCTATTAAAACGAAAGTCTCAGTTTTGGAAAGCGCAGACACAGAAAGCAGATTGGAAGTTGCCTGGGGATGAAGGAGGAGAGAGAGAGGCAGGAGGGGAAAACTACAAAAGAGCACAAGGAGATATTTGGGGGCCATGGATACAGTCATCACTGTGGTCCTGTAGATGGTTCCCCAATGTACACACATGGCAACTTATCAATGTTGTTGTTGTTAAGTGTAGTCAAGTTGGTTCCGATCCATAGCAACCTTGTATAGGGTTTCCAAGAAGAGGCTGGTAAGCTTGAACCACCTACCTTGTGGTTCAAACGGACTTTGCAGTATAGTGCATTAACCCATGGCGCCACACTAGGACTCCAAAGTACCCTTTAAATACATGCACTGTATGCCAATGTTACCACAATAAAACCTGCTAAAAAAATCATAAAAAGACTTTTCATCAAATTCTAAAATTCTTCACTGAAAAGAATGTAACTTACACCTTTTGTTCATTTAAATTTTTTTTGTGTGTTTTCATTTCATTTTGTTTTGTTTTGAGAAACCCTGGTGAAATGCAGCATAAGGTTACTAGGATCCCCGCAAACTTTTTCATTGAAAAACTCTCTGGAAACATTTCACGGATTCTACTATACTTGAATGTATGGCTTCTTTTCTGTAATAAATCTCACTAATATGTACAAATATAAGGAGAAATCGATGCCAGTGAATGTTTTAGAGTAAACTGTTCTGATTTCATATGGCTGCCATTCTGCCAAAACAAAAATTACATTGCTAACATTAAAATGGTTTGTATTATTTAGTAAAGTAGAAAGACACTTTTTTGTACACCAGTTTTTGGTCATTAAAAAAGTTAGGTAGAACTTATTTAGCCAAGTAACCTGGATCAGTTTAACATCTGTTCAGTCTCCTTATCTGATGCTGCTGAACATAACCCTATGCCTTTGTTTCCACTACCCAGACAGACATCAATCAACAAAGCAAGTCCTTAAAACTCTCGTCCCTAATTCCTTGTCCATCCATAAAATATACATATCACACACGTCATCTTATTTTATCAATATTTGCAGGCATTTCTTTTAGTTGCTTTCTCTGCTATCTTTAGGAACGAAGATTTTCTTCCTATCCAGGATTAAGCTCTCCTTCCTATCCAAACTCTTCATATAGTTCTCCCTTGTTCCCTCAACAAAGTATTTACTGAATGTCTGCTATGTATAATTTAGTATGCTTGGGCTTGGAAACACAAAGACCAACAATGACTTGGTGACTATCTTCAACAAAGTGTAGTAGTAGAGTCAGATATACACCAAAATGAACAGACTGTGGTAACTGCTACAGAACATTCCGTGGAGTACAATGGGAACAAACAATTGTTGTCAACCTCTTCCTTCAGAATCTTCAAATCTCCATGGTCTGTCTCTTTTCTCCAGCACATAAACACCAGAGCTCTCCCTCAATCTACGCACAGTATTGACTCTTTTTCATACGCATACTCCCTGTTGTCTTCCTTTCAAAAACAAGTAGTCAAAAGAAGCCTATATTTTCATCTCTACTACTGTCTGCCATTTGCTCCTCAGTCCACTGTAATCATGTTTTTCACCCTCGATATAGAAAGTCCTCCCAACTCCTTCTTCACCTTCCAACTGGAACTCAAGTCATTTGTGGTGACCCATCCAGGAAGCCCTCTGGCTGAGCATCAGTTTGGTGCTGCTCCTCTTGCTATTTTTCTAGGTTCCTGTGCTGAGCCCCATCAACATACTCATCACATATAATTGACCATCACTTCTCAGTCTGGTGATCACTTTCTTAGCATTTAGCACAGTGCGTTATATGTAGCAGATGTTCATGAGATTTTCTATTAATGAACTATTGGCTTTGGGTCAATTATTCCTATTTAACTGCACAATTTACTTTATTATTTAACACCATCTCTTTTCAACATAGTATTTACACTAATATTTTACGCCAATACTCTAAGAGATACCAGAACATGACAACCTTGACCATTTTATTACTAAACAAATTGTGTATTTCCTGGCTCAAACAATTCCTAATTAGGTTATAAGTGAAAGCCAAAAAGCAAAAAAAGCCTATCAAACCAATTTTAAAAAATGAAATAATACTAACACTATAAATATTATTGGATAGTCTGTTACAGAGCTGAAACATTACAAATAAAACCAAACAAAAATCAACTGCCATCCAGCCAATTCTGTTTCACAGCAACTTTAGGTGTCACAGTGGAAATGTGCTCCACAGGGCTCTATAGCTGATTTTTAGAAGTAGAATGTCTGGACCTTTTCCGAGGTACTTTTGGGTGGATCTGAACTTCTAATTTTTCAGTTTACAGCTGAAATGTTTAGTTAGGACATGGGCCAATACCAGGGAGCACTGCCCTGGTTTCCTAAATATCTATCAAACATACCATATTTCATTCATTCTAATATGCTGTTAAGTATCATTGTCGTTAAGTGTC